ATATATATATATATATATATAAATATAAGAATATGTACTACATGTTTGTATATAAAGGTAAAACAACTATACAAATATAAATAATATAAGTAAAGTATTTCACTAAAAGTAAACTATACAACCTAAATTGTCGATCAAACAATTCCTATACATAGTACTATATAGTAGTAAAACCAAAATGACTTCACTAGGCAAGGAACTTTTTGCCTTGCGCATGTCTGGTATTACATAACCCACGTCCAACGTGGATAAGGTTAGAGCTGTCAAAATGGGTTTAGCCCAGTGAGCCAACCAGGCCTACCACGGGTTCGAGCCGGGTTGGGCTAAAAAAAATTTAAAAATTTCAGTGTGAGCCAATTTTAAACCCGACTCACTAACAACCCGGCTCACCCGGGTTAAACACGTGGTGAGCTGGGCTGACCCACCAACCCATAAAAAAAAACCTTATACTATTGGGCCAAATAAAATTATGGCTGTCTAGAACACTGCAAAGGTGGAAGTGGGGTCAATTATTGTTGTTTTTGGCCTTGGAACTGTTGGGTTGGCTGTGAGTTTCTCAAAAGACTAGTAGATTTTTGCTTTTTTGCTTCGTCTTGGGGGTTTCATTTTGACTAAAAATTCATACTTATGTGCATAGTGTTTCTGCAGGATTATGACATTAACTTTCATTACATAATTTACATTTTTTCAAATTAGGTGAGCCAACCCGTTTAGCCCACCAACCCGTGGTGGGCCGGGCCGGGCTCAACTTTTTTAAGCTCACCAATAAATGAGGCAGGTTAGGTTGGCCCACCAAAGGCTCAACCAGTGGTGGACCGGGCTGGGCCGGGCCGGGTTACCCGTTTTGACAGCTTTAGATAAGGTAAATGCCCCTAAGACCTTACGCTTAGTGTGACAAGGTGCCATGCCCGACCTCATTTTAGGCAAAGAGTCTATGTGTAAGTCAAGTCTAACGTCACCACATTGGCGCTTGACATCATCTAGACAAAGTTTTAGTTTGGTCACGTTGGACACCACTCAACCTTGGGACTAAGGTCGCCAAATTAGAAACCTCTTAGTGTTTTCATACTCGACGTCATTCAAACCACGTCCGATATCATTTTAACCCGAGACGAGTCTCTCCATTAAAGATTTTTTTTAATTAATTCCCTGATTTTTTTTAATTAGATTTCTGAACATAAACTAATGGTTTGTAAATAAACCGTTAATTATATATTTTTTACTATAAAAATTTGAAAAAATAATAAAAAAAAAATTATAGTTAAAAGACTTGTTTAAAAAAATTAAGAAAAAAAAGAAAATATATCTAGCCTTTTAAATTTCCTTACATAGTATATAGGTTACAGTTACGTAAACACGTATAATTCATCAATAAATCATTAATTTGAATAGTATTGAATTAAATTTCTTTTAATAAAGTTTTGAATTTGAACTTTGTGTATATAAAAAAACGTCATGAGAGAGGAGAACCATTAAAAGTGACAAACAAAATTTTCCAACATAAATTCATCACGAATGAAATTGATAATACTTTGTAACAATAATATAATTAAAAATAAATAAATACGTGCAATTTATTGAACGATAATTCGTGGCTCAAAGTGCAGTGAGCGTTAGTCCGTTGGAATATGTAAAAGATGGTACCGGTGATGAGTAATGAAACCATGCCGCTAAACCTAAAACATGGGGAAACCATCACTAAATTCAACATATGTCATAGCTTTTCTCAATAATTTTTTTAATCAGTAAAAATGATTACAATTACAACGATAAAATTTGAACTTACAATCTTCTTGTGCATACTAATTCCTCTATTTCAAAGCATCGTTTTTTTTATAAGTCTTTTAGTTGTTTCAATTTTATTTCTTTCCTAATACATCTTTATGCAGAGACGACTCTCTATAAACTTATAAAAAGGGCTGAGATTATTTTAATAATAAATTTAAATAAATATTAAATAATAATTGTTAAATATATCATATTATTGATATAATTTATGAATATCATTTTTTAAATCATAAAATCATTAATAATATAATGTAAAATATGTATTATTTTTTTTAATAATATTTTAAGAACTCTAAGTCAATCTCCTGCATGAGAAGATCTTAAAATCAATATCTTAAAACATATTATATATATGGTGTTAAAACTCTAAACGAATATCATACGGTGTTAATATTTTATTTACTAATAATCATTTTTGTTTTACTATTTTGAAAACAAAATTTAATTTTGAAAACTATTTTGTTTTGATGATGGTTTTACTAACATCTCTAATATTGACGGAAACCTTTTTTTTTATATAAATATTTAATATTCTATTATAATTTCTAAAATTATGGTAGTAACTAAATTGATTCACAACGTGTCTCGATTCACGTTTAAGATTTACATTAACACAAAAGTAAGAAATTCTTTCACATTTTTTACGCGAATTAAACTTGAGAGACGTGAAACCAAAAACATGTTGCTTAAGAATTATTTATATGCATCCAATTTATATAACCTAATTATTTCTATTTTTTGGTTCAAGAATTAGAAAATCCAAACCAATCCACACTTTTTCTTATGTGATTTTTTACGTTATTAATTAGTACACGATTGTATAGTTACACGTCATATCTTTAATCCCAGCTAGAAAATATGTTATAATAATTTAAAGAAATCCATCAAAATAATTCTTAAGTTCATATAGGTAAGCCTATATTTATTTTCCTGACAAAATTACATTGCTTTGAATACAATTTAGGACATACAAAACGTTTATTTTGCATATGCTGAATTTCTAAATTCGATAATTTAATATATGTGATACTTATTTAACGCTCTTGACATGTATAACATTTCAAATTTTGAGTACTATAAATATATTATAAAAATATCATTATTTTCAACCTGTTTTTAAATAATAATATTAATAATATATATTAAATTATATTAAATTCATGATTGTATGCATTAAATATCATATAATCTTTTTTTATTATTATAAAATAATATATAACAATAATTTTTTATAAAAAAAAAGTAGTTTATAACAAAATTAATAAAAATAACTGATTGCTTTAACTTATTTATTATTTTATAAAATATATGTTATCAAATATTTGTACATTACACAAATACTCATACTAATTAATATAAATGGAATAATAGAATCAGGATAGGATTTAAAAGCAAAAAAATGGACTAAACCTCCAACACAACTTTACACTCACGATTTTTAGAGAAGGAAGGTAGGGGGGAGAAAGAAAAGGGAAAAAAGGAGGAAGAAAGGAAGAAAAAAAAGTTAAAGATTGCCAACATTCTAAATGTTTTCTTTTTTTTCTTCTTTTGTTGAACAAAAATTTAGATAAATCGACTCTTAGAAGTTTATTAAGATCATGAAAGACCTCAATGTTTTATAAGTGCTTAATAAAATATTTACAAATTATCAATCAACAAAATTTTCTTATGAACATGAATTGAACTGATGTCCTTTTAAGATATGAATTAATTTCTTACAAATTATATCAATCATTGTTAGTCAAAGATTCCAAAGTTATTTATTGAGGTGAGTGTTACATTGATCTTTTTTCATACTCCATTTTTATTATATGCTACTCTCAATCGATTTATGGTGAAAAAGGTGTTGTAAATGATTAAAATTTGTAAACATTATAAAATTAAAAAAAAAATTGATTAATTTATTTTGAAAACTTGATTACATCATTGAAAATCATATTTATAGAACCATGTATATTTTCAATGTGTATAACTTAAAGTCTTTAACCTTTCTAACACTTAACAAATATTGTTTTACTTATTTTAATCATTTAATCTTTATATTTGTACTCAAACACATTTCTAAAATATTTGTACATCTTAAAACATATAACTCAAACATTTTGCTAAATCTAAACTTTAAATATTTGTCATACTTAATTATTCACCTAATCAAAATATATAAATGATGCTTGAATATTTAAAAATACATTCAAGTCATACTGACATCCTTAAAATTCATACTAAATTTTATTTTAAAAAAATAACTTTTTAAATGTATACTTTCTTATACATATAGACTTAAGAATAACAACATTCTTCAAATTAGATCTAATTATATATATATATATATATATATATATATATATTATTGTTAT